TTGGAGGAGTGGATCTTGCGACCTGGGCGCAACTCGATCCGGAAGAGCCGTCTGCCATCTCAACCCACCCTAACTCAGGCAGCCACCCTCTTCTGCAAGGGACTCAATATTAACCTGCCCGATAGACCGGATTCCGGTGACAAAAAAGGGCCCGATACCAGGCTCGGAAAGATGCCATTAAAAAGCCCGAGATTCATGGGAGTCAATCTCAAATCACTGTTGAGGATATAAATCCTGCATTACCTTAAGAACCCTAAGCTATGGGAATTATGGCATATTCCATATTAACTATGCGTAATTCCTGATTTATATCATCAACCGCGGGTGATGCTTCCATCCCCCGAACCGGCCGGCTACGTTTGGGTGTTCGAAAGCCGTATGCCAAGCCGTATGCGCACGAATACGCTCGACGTCCAGAAGGTGCCAAAAAAACGCCGTGATGTCTAGTTTTGGCTAACACGTCGTCAGCGAAGCTCGCACATGCATATAACGTTTAAAGCAAGACAGCAATCCAGTCAAACTGTCTTGCTGTATAACCATACATGGATCGGTGCACATATCTTGACATCTACCGCATCCATGCCTGGTTAACCTTGTCTGCCTCCCTGTCTTTACACATGTGCAAACTTCACACCACGCATTCCAATAAGCCTTTGTCCTAGCTTTGGCCCTGAGCCCTGCTTGCGCAGACCTTGCACGCGCGGACCAATATGCAAAAATGCCGTCGCCTGATACGAAACTACAGGACAACTGCTGACAACTACTTACAACCGATAGCTATGCTTGGCAATGCTTTGATGATGATTTTGTTCGTATCACGTCGTACGGAGTTGAAGGAGTTCCAGGGACATATTTCGGACAGTTTCCCCGGATTTAGCATGTTGAGACAAAGCAGGACGGACCCAGGATACAGGAGTCCGACCGCATGGGACAAAGAACCGAGACCAAACAAGAACCCAGGACACAGTGACACAGGAGTCCGACCGCAGGAAACGAAGCAAACCGGAGAGGAGCAAGCAAGCGCCCTTGAGTGTTGAGACTGCAGAGAAGCCATCCAGACCTTGCATTCCGTCGGTCACGAGCGCTTGATTCAGAAAGCGACTCAACGTACCTATCTGGGCAATGCTGGGTCCGTGTTCTCGCCTTTTCGACCAAGTGTGTGAAATCCTTCTCGTGGCTGACGTACACCTGGCACTGCCGACTCGCATCGTCAAAGTGACTTTGGAGTGGAGGAAATGCCGAATCTTGGCCTGCGGTGACACTTTGACGTCGCCAGGGTTTAGATCCACCTAGCGACCGGCATCCGTGACCCATGACCTCCTGTTCGGGACACCAAGAATCGGACTCCGCGGCTGGCTGGAGCCGTCGCCAAGGCCCCTTGGGACGCAGAACACGTCACGCCCATCATCTCCAACCAACCATTTGCAAAGCTGAGGCTGAAACTGCTCCGCGGTGGCGTCGCAGGGCGCGTCCCATCGGCGGTACCCTGGGCAACTTCTATTCTTGTAAGCCGCAGCTAAAGATACTGCTAGTGATAGCGACGAATGATCATGGAGAATGCTGCAATCGTTATTGTGCGGCAGAAATGTCGCTGCTGCTTTCTGACGGATAGCAACTGTCAGGAAGAGAGCCTGTTGCATTTTTGCTGTGATAGCTCGACTCTACGAAGAGAGAGAGAGAGAGAGA